GATGTTTTTTATTTGAAGAACTCTAACTTTTTTTCTTTGCTCCTTATTTTTTTATAAAATTATTTTTAGCATTTCCCACAGATTTTCAAGCAGAGATGAAAAAGGATCCCAAACAAACCGAAAAGATAAGGCAAGTAAAGCTACTAAACAATTATAATATAATTTTTTGAAATATGTTTATTTAAAAGTTATAAATTTTATAAATCTATACTGAAACTCATTTCTCTTACAATAAAGCGTAGGCGACAAATTACTGTTCTTAATTTTACCTTTTTGCACCAGCTATATACTTTTGCTACTGATTCCCATCACAAAAGACCGCTTTTCATGTTTTCCATCCACTTTTCATTTTGTTGGCTATCTCTATTTTGTATGATAATTCAAAAAATTAAAGTGTATTCTGTTTTGGGACATAGGCTAGCTGAGACAACTAAGGCCACTGAAATGTCTGTCTGCCCGCCGCCGCCTCCACCGTTGACTGAAGCTGATATAATAGCCGATTGTGGTGAAGTGCTTGCTTTCGCAGAGCGTGAGCTTGCTCTTCAGCAACGTGATCTCTTCCGGTCGACTGCCCGATTAAGATCCCAGCATCAACGTGGACAACAGGTTAGTGGTTCTAGTTGGCCTTCAGATGCAGACGATGAACCTGGTGAAAATATCAATACATCCGGCTCAATCCCAGGAGCCTGGACTCCGGGAAGCAAGAATGCAATGCCTAGCGAAGCACCGACTGGTTCTATAGGTGAGGAGGTGCGTAGTCATGTGAATGGCTTTCAAGAGCAGGTGAATGCCTGTCGGAACAAAATTCTCGATCTGGACCAACAAATTCAAAATCCACGCATATTTTTCCTCCCCGAAGTAAATGATAAAGGTAAGCACGGATGAACATCTCCATCTTCTCCTTTCATTCTGTCCGTTCTTCCGAACAGTCTATAACTTATTGCACATCGTTTGAAAATAGAGAAATAATGAATCCCACCTGATGTAATAATTATGGCCTTGCTTGATGCGATTTATAATCGCATCCATATATCTCTAATTTTGGTGCCACCTAAGCAGCTTTTCTAGTTTTTTTAATGAAATTCATCCAGTTCACGAATTTCGACAAAGCTGATCCACTATGTACAGGCTATGCGATTCTATCTTAATCGTTAGATACTCGGATTGTAGTCAGAAAAATATCCTTTACTGTGATACTTTCTCAATATTTAAACTCAGCTTATGATTACCAACTAAAAGAAACTGTTTAATTCCCTTTACCATTATGTAAAATAGCCAACGCTTAGAAGTTCTTTGATCTTGTTTTCGCTACTTAGTCATATTGGTAGGACGACTTAGAGGAACGCACATAGTCCGGAGTTCATAGTATGCATAATAATTTCTAGTCGGACCGTCCACATACACGGTCCGACTGCAAATTATCATACATACTATGAACTCCAGACTATGTGCGTTCCTCTAATTCGTCCTACCAATATGACCAAGTTGCAAAAACAAAGTCGAACAACTTGTATACAACGAAAGAAGACTGAGACCACACAAAAGGTCACACCATCTTGGTCTTCAGACCTTCGCCAACGTTTGTTTAGCTCATAAATAATGACTGTTCTCAGACCGGCTTACTATATCAGTCACTAGCCGCTAATTTTGCACCATTGCTAGCAATGTTGGCACGGCCAATTCCAGATTGGGTTTGATTAAATTAATTCTCATTAATTAAGAATGATTCCGTAGGCCTTATCGATCCGTTACATCTATAAGCCTTGGATGTCACTTGCTACTGGGTTTTGAAATGATTTTTAATTAAAGTTGTAAGTGCAAGCTGATAATGCAGAATTCTCAACCAATTCTAAAGATATTTTTATGGCCAAATACCGATGTCATCAAGAAGACCAAACGTGCCGGAAGTTATCAAGATTTGGGGTAAATGACTCATATTCTTCGAAGATATGACAACCAAAATGGCGCGACTTTTACTATGACTGTAGTCTTCTTTCGTGGCATGGAAATAATTTGACCTCGTTTTCACAACTCTATCGTGTTGTCAGAAAGACTTGGATGGACGCATACTGGCCAGCGTCCTTAGCCATGATAATTTTCGACGTTGGGCTGTCAACTTGGCTTATTTTTATGTGGGATATTTATTATATCCACCGTTGACTAAATTCATGTATATTATTTGTATGACCTTGCTTCCGCAATTTAGCTATATTGGAAAGAAGACCTAGAGGAACGCACCTTGATTCGGGACAAGGTGTGTATCTTAGTATCTACGCTTAAATTGATTAAATTCATTTAGATACTTGAGTATCATCATTTGGCTTAGCTTTGACCTTTGTGAATAGAAATATATTGCAAAACATCCACTACCTTCCTGTCTGTATCACGTGAAGGTGGTATAATCGAAACTTCGCAAAATAACACGCTATATACGATACGAAACAATTCAAAATGGTAGAAAATTACCTCATGACTTCTAATATGGTTGCACTAATGTGCAGCAATACAGCCAAAACACTCTCATGGCGTTCACTAGTATAACCTTCACTAGGAATAGCACAAATGATTGTGGTTTATCAAATTTTTGAGCTACATTGAGAAGTCGACACCGAATTTTTTGGAATGTAGGACTTCTTATCCATGTCAGAGCCGTACAACTGTGCATATCGGAGCCTACGCCTGCGTCAATTTTATTCATTCAGCCCTACCATTGGGGGACCATAGCCAGCCTTTTTAAGTCACACTTTCAATTCTATAATGTTATCTTATTCTTGGCTAACACTGAAATCAAAAGGTACCACACCATGCCTTAGCTAAAATTAGTAAGAGTAAACAAGAATTAGTTCTGATAGTTCATATGACTGACCATTACTTTCGTTAGCAGTGGCATGGACCTATAGCCGAAGATGCATGGCCAAGCGAAACTCACAATCCGAGGACTTTCATTGACGATGCCTTCGTACTACATCCCTGCCAATATTTAATTATTATTTCTATCCGTGAAGTAATCGGATTGCGTTTTCAAAGATTATTTC